TTTGTCTTGTTTAACGTCAATAACTGCTATAAAAAGTGCATTGTGTTCTTTAAAAAATGCATTTATCAAATTGAAAAGGAATGTCAGTAAAAGTATTAAAATTAAATGCAATATTTTACAATAGAATTCAATTGTTCTGAAAACTGTATAATTCAACCCTTTACTTCAAGTTAAATTCGAATTAATGAAAATACAGCAGAGAGAAACCGCGTTTTACCAATGAAGTGATGTATTAAAGTTATGTTCAGTCACATTCTGTTGTTTTATTAACCGTAAGTCGCGTTAGCTGACGTAAAGTAAACTGCTAACTTACCTTTCCACAGGTCGACTACCCTTACAGCTGTGTACTATCAGCTGACGTAGTCCAGCGCTGTTATCTGTGGTCAAAACAATAATTAATAAAATAATTCATCATGAGTGAACAAAACATACAACAGGCTAAAAAACAAATCAATATAAAACAAAGCGCTTGCTAGCTGGTTAATTCGCCAACTTTTTCTTCTTCCTTCCGCAATTCTGACGTATGATCCAGCGTTTCCCCGGTAACAGCGGTGATGACGTGAGTGACAGGTGACAAAAATGAAAATTACAGATTTCTGTGGGTTTGAACCATAGACTGTATAAGAATATATACAGCCTATGGTTACGCTGAAACATAATGTAAGTATATCAGTTTGATAGAATGTAAAACATTAGTGTAGTCCTTTTACACATTTTAATATATGTTATATTGATTTTTAAAAAAAAAAAAAAAGAAAGGTGAGCTTTTACAGAATTGAATTTCCCTTCTGGGATGAATAAAGTATTTTTCATTCATTTTCATTTTCATTTTCATTTCATTTCATTCATTTAATGTGTTAAATGCCACATATAGGCAGGAGTAGAATTGGGCTGACATCCAAAACATCCTGCCTGAGCTCAGGCTCACAAACAACTCATTGAACACTCTGTCACGTTAAACAAGCAAGCTGCCTTGTTTTCTTTGACTTAATCAAACAGCCGCAGCATCACACAGCAGCAGGATTTGTACTGTGATGTACAAAGGAGAATTATTTATAGTAAATATTGTTTATTCTGGACATATTTTTCAGAATATGAAGTGCATCATTACACAATGTTGTCAGTTCTGCTGCTTAAATGCCACATTATTTCCAGTAGTGGCATTACTGACTGCAAGGAGCTGATCCAATAATGTACTCATATCTAAACAAGACAACACTCAGCGTAAGAGAACACAGTTTGTTAGTTTTTCCCCTCAGCCTACAAGTTACTGTAGATAGCTCTGTTGGGTCAATGCAAAGATGTCTACTTTAATAAATGCCAGCGATGGAGTGTTTCCTGACCCATCATTTAAATATAACATGTAATAGTTTATATATTTTGAAAACCATCTACCACTGCAGGGCATTTAGGCTTATATAACTGAGGTGTTTTATTATATTTTTTTGGTGAAAGGATTTTAGTTTGTGGTACAACATTAAAAGTAACATAGAGACAATTAAGCTGCAACACATCATTCCAGCAAATACACATGTTGTGTACAGTTATAAATACTTTGTACTAAAGAAATCGTCCCTATTTCTACTGTCTGCTGTATGATCCATGAGCCTCACTGCATTCCCACTCCTCGCAAATCCCAATTTACCTTCTGATACCTTCAAATGTGGCCCAGACAAAGCATAGGCCATCTTTTGATCAAGTAACATCAGCAGACCATTGACTGTATATAACAAGAGGCAGAAACCAGTGATTTCAAAATGGAATTTTTCATTTTTCATCAATCATATTTTCCACTCTAGCATAGACAAAAACACAACCAACACAACCATCTAATATATTATGGTTTATTACTCATCACAAATGTCATTATCAGCATTAATTATAAATACATCAGTTGTAGATCTGAAGGAATGAATTCAATTAGCTATGATTTTATTTCACTTTCGCCAGAGAGAGAGAGAGTGACATGTAAACTTAAAGACACAAAAGACGTAACGGCATTGGGGAGAAAAAAACAGCTGAAACACTTTCCTTTTAAATATTTGCATCAGTGGAGTCATTCCCAATCACTGTAATCAAGAACGACCACTTCAGAGTTAATACCGAAATGCACAAAGGACCTGATAGAAATAGGTTCTCCTAATTCGAGTTGGATCTACAGCTAGTGTCCGATTCATTTGATCATCACAGCATCTTGAGCTCTCTGAACAAAGAGAAATGACGCTATCATCAGGACATGAGCTGCGAGGACGTATTGCTCATAAGATATCGTAGTCCACGGGCCTGAAAGTGTGCGAGGAAAAACACCTACAAAAGCACAGAATTCATTTCTCCGTGGGACTGCTCTGATCAGTGGTGAAATCAGTGCTGCCATCACTACACACACCCACAGTCATGATGGAGGAAGTTTGCATAGATGTGTTCAGGTTATCCACACTAACACTACACTGATCTGTGCCGACAATGCACCGGCGTCAAAATAGAGAAGGGAAAGGGTGTGTGTGTGTGTGTGTGATATTTATATATTCAAATGACCTGAAGTAAGTGGAAAACTATGAATATGGAGGACATGTTGGCTACAATTACACGAAAGTCCCTCTAATCATTAACTACGAAACAGTACAGTTAAAGAGCATCAATGTTTTTTTGCCATCAAATGGTTTTACACTAACTACCTGGCACTATTCATCGTATACTGATGGGGTTCAGTGCCATTTAATGTATGCATAAATATGTTACAGTACAGAACACTGAGTGTAAATAGGTTAGGGAGTTAGTCCATAAGTCATTATGAATGTTACAACACAACTTGGTGAGATAGACATACTTAAGATCTTCAATTAAAGAACTATTCAAAGCTCGTAAATCACCTCTTAGTATAATTTACAGTACGAAGACTTTCCACTCCCAAATATTCTGTCTGAATCACTCGTCTCAAAGTTTGTTCTCTCAGAGGCCCATTTTTTTCACTCAAGTCTGTTTAATACTGCACTTCAGTAAACTGGAGACTCGTGAACCTACGTTGACCAAACCAACAATGACAGTAAACAATAGCAAAGACATGCATCAGTTTGTTGTGTAAAAGCAGAGGACTTAACGTGCAAAGAAAAAAAAAAAAAAAAAGAAGACTAAAACACTTTAAATGATCCCCCTGCAACTACACTGTGTAGTCGGCCATCATTCCAGTCAACCAGGTGTCTCTTGCTCACATAGAAAAATAGTCAGATCCAAAATAATAATAATAATAATTCATAATATACTATATTTGATTAAATTAACCACTTTGTACATAAATACATCAGAGCCCAAAGTTCAGAGGTTAATGCTACATTGGCACACCCGGCATCTCCAGTCAAGTGGCTTCCTATAGGTCCTCAAAGCAGAGATTTCAAACTGTGAAACCGGCCTGTTGAGACTCTCGTTTTTCTACTTCACCACAACAGTGGAGTGGTCAACTTCAGTGGCGCTTTGTGACAAAATCACAAGTGCAAAAAACATCCTTCATTCGCTTAAGATACTTGAAATCACATTCTAATGGGCTAAGGAACTTAAGTTCTTACCCATACTGAAATTTGGCTGAATAAAATGCATACAAGATTTTGTTCAATGAAATCAAAATAATACTAATTTTAACAGAAGGACATTTGGTCTGCAGGACTTGTGCACAGATATTCCTTGCATATTTTCCACACAAGCAGTTTATAATGATAACGTTAGGCCTGCTTTTTGCAAAAATTCACTTCAGACACAACTAATTTAAACTAAAGCCTAAAATAAAAACAATACATGCTCCCCTTGTGTTGTTTTCTCAGACAAAAATACACAAATATGAACGATTAAAAAAGAAAATTCCACCACTTCATGGTGTCTGGTTTGACTTCTGATTTTCTCCCTCTTGTTATCTGTTAACCATTATATTTATTCTAGTGACAGAATAAACTAAAGGTTTGTGAATAACCACAGATGGTTTGACATGAGAGAAAATAAAAGCAGGCAGAGGGAGACTTAAAACAGGGAGGCCACACATAGAACATTAACACATTTCACTACACTACTAAGGCACACACTCACTCACAACATTTAACATGACAATAAATACATCCTCAACAACATTACTAGCATTTCTGTCTTCAGTGCCTGCGTTTGAGATGACTTCAAAAGGGTTTTTGTTTTGTTTCCCGCCCCGCCCCGACATCCAGATAACCTGCTCACAGATGAGAACTGATGAAGCACAGGGAGTGTTACCAGGATCCTATGTACTGTAGGTAGATTTTTTTTTTATTTACATACTCTATGGCACCCGAACCTTCTCTGCAAATGCTCGATTCAACACTCCCTTGAGCCGATGTTTCTCTAACCACTGCTGTCAATCTGATTAAAATAATAAAATGAAAAAGAAAAAAAAAAGAATTAAAAAAACTAAAACTAATAATGACTGTAATCTTCTGAAAACTGATTTACAGCCCGTGCTCCAGTTGACAAAAGAAATGTGTCCCATCTCAATAAAACTCTGTGAAAAAGAAAGCATTGAGCAGGAGGCAAAAAGCCCCCCAAGGTGCTTTAAAACCATGATCCAGTTTTCTCCATCATAGTACTCGAACTACATTAAGTCTTCGAAATGATGTGTTGCTCAGGAAGCCATCCCATTTTTTTTTTTATTTTAATTACTCTTTCTGTTTCTGGGGTCTTTTGTTCCCCTGACCTCTTTTTTTTTGTCCAGCCGCCCTTTTCATGATCCTAGAATGACAAGGAGGAAAACTAGGCCGAATCTTTCGCTGCTGCGGCTCCATTTTTGTCCTCGGCCTCTCCTCCCCCTTTGTCCTTTTTCTTCCCCCCTTTCTTCTTCTCTTTTTCTAGCCTCTCTTTCTCTTTCCTGAGCCTCTCTTTTTCCACCTTTTCCTTTTCCTTCTTTTCCTTCATTTTTTTCTTCTCGTCTTCCTTCTCCTTCTTCTTGTCTTCTTTGCTTTTCTTCTTCTTCTTTCCTTCTTCTTCTCCTGTTGTGACTTCGGCTGATGGCGCCGCTTCTGTTTTTGAATCTGGACATGGGGGCAGAGGGGCGTTGTTTGCAGTAGGCGAGGGGATGGTAGGAGTAATTTTCTCTGAGACGATCTTAGGGGAGGGGGCCAGAGTACTGGGTGGCAGAGGTGTGCTTTGCGTTGGGGCCGAGGCAGCAGGCTGGCCCTGTGCTGAGGTGCCCTCCGGGGCTTGAGGAGGCTCACTGGATGAGCCAGTCGAACTCGCGACGAGGGGGCTCTGAACATGTGGTGCTGGTGCCTTCTGACCTGCCCCTGGAGGAATAGGTGGTTTATGGGCGGGGCCTCGACTCGGGCTTGATGTCACTGCAGGTGGCGAATGAGGTGGCAGACCCTCGAATCCTGACGGCCCAGAGAAGGAGCCCTTTTTGTGTTGGGTGTGGAAAGGAGCTTTAGACTTGCGGAAGCCAGGGAGTGAGAGGAGGCTGGAAGAGGCCCTGAGGGGTCCTGGCGGTGGGATTGGGCTTCCCAGGAAAGAGAAGCTGCCACCGGAGCTGATGGCGGAAGCGCGGCGTTTGTACTCGAAGATGGCTCTTGTACCGTGGAGACGACGGCCCGGCTGGTGTGTCAGCTCCCCTCTGGACTCCCTCCACTTCCTCACCTGGATGCTGCACTCCCTCTCTATGAGCGCCTCTGTCACTGGGAGGGTGACGATCTGAACGACACGACATCAGACAAGGACGAGACAGACAGAGGAAGTGAAGAACACTAGACCAGGCACTACAGGACAAACTGACTCATAACTCATGTCTCTGAGTAAAAATAGAAGCAAGTTTTGTTTATGCACATGGTCTGTAAAGCCCACAGACAGAAAGACTCACCTCCTGTACCAATATGTCCTCTCTAATAGTGTCGGGTGAGATGTTTCTTAGACGCTCCATGGTCTCATACATGCCCTGTAGCTCCCGAAGTTTATCCACAGAGCCAAGCATCTGTTTCAGCAGGACCAAGCCCACACGAAACACTATCTTCACTCCTACAACCAGAGTTTTAAGTTAGGGTTCTGTCAAACTACAGTGAAAAAATAAAACTAAATGTAACACTCACACAGTAACCAAAGTTCTGTAATTAAAAAAAATGCCACTAACACTGAATCAAACTTACAGCATTGGAAATAATTATTAGACCACCTGCTGTTTTCTTTACAAAGTGCAGACAATAGGTTTTCAACACTGACTGCTTTGTCTGAATTTGATCACAGTGGGTATAAAATCACAACATCTTCTAAAAGACATGATAGAATTATACATGCAAGAAATTATGTATAAAAATAGGAAGTATTGAAACGGTTTCTAAATTTACATTTTGAGTCACTTTACAATGTGACCTTTGAGTTGCAAAGTCAACATATGATCCAAACTAAATAATTCCTCAACAATGCCTTAAAGAAGAGAATTGTAGTTCTCGTCGGCTTGGAACCAAACAGCGTCCAATACAACCTTCGGAAGAAAGGGCAGTATGCTTCCACAAGGAACCACAGAGGGAGGGCCACAAACAGTGGTCACAGTGGTTTAATAATTATTACTGAAGCTGGATATAGTTTGTCACTACCTACAGGTAAGTGCAGGTAATTCAATAAAAAGACAAGAGCTTTAAGGGCATTCTAGCCAGGAACCAAAATTAACAATACCTTCACAGAAGAACATATCCCAAACACGCAGGACACTGGACCATGGTAAGGTGCGAGAGAAAATACACATGAACCACTCTGTCATGTAGAGAATTGGGTCGATCTTAAACTTCTTAAGATGACGGTACGCCATTGGGCATGTGCGCCGCAACAACGAGAAGAAGATCTCGCCATCCAGTTGAATCGCTTCCTGCAGGACAGAAAGACACCTCTTTGAAGCGGAGAAAAGTGACAGGCGGGATGCAATTGGATAGAGAGCTTTCTTAACTCACTCACCAGCCCAGCACTGTAGTAACCAGGAAGATACTTCTCACAGATCTGGACGAGGCACCAAAAAGCTTGCTGCGAAACAGAAAAGGCGTCAGCGGTTAAGGTTGATAAAAAAACAAACAAACAAAAGAAAGAAAACTGCAAATGAGGTTTGAAAGTAAAAATAAAGCAGTGGCTTGCTGCATTAACTCGCTCAGCCGCAAACCCCACCAGCAGGCTATAAAAGCATCATAACTTAAAAAAAAAAAAAAAAGAATCACCTTAATTTACATCATTTATCAGAGCCAGAAACAGCAAAAGCAGAAAGAATTGTTGGATTTTCACCATCCCAATAGTGTTTGGACTAATAATGGGACGTTCACAGTTTTGTCTGGAAAATTAACCAAATCTAAGCTCAAAATCGGGATATTTCATCTTCATCACTTTATTTATAATATTTAAAAAACAAAAAAATGTGGTTATCTGCTGTCTAACTGTGAAGCCAATAGTGACATAGTGACAGTGCAATCATTTTAACAGCCACCAACTAATTGATTAATCAGCTAATCCTTGCAGTAGTGAGCCGTAAGTTCGAGTCACTGCAGTTTGAGATTCTATTTTAGCTTCATGACATTTTCTGTACAAGCTGAGTCCTTCATATATTTGTGACATTTGATATGCTGGTTTAGTCGAGTAACTTTTGCCTTGTGGTGCTCTGACCGTTTCCTGCTGTCACACAGCATTATCCCATCTCATTTGATATGCCAGTTGGACGCACTGTTGATGCCCCGTGTCTGAGCAAAATCATGCGGGAGGCCAAGTCACTTCTGGTTTGGGGAGGGGTCAGCAGATTGTTGTATTAGGAAAAGGGTTGGCCAGTAGCCCCCAGTAATTATGAATGCTGGCGATATTATGAGAAACCGTTATTTCAAATATAACTGTACACATCGTCCTATTGTCGTTGTTAACCAGAAACCTGCTGCAATTTAAACTGTGACACTTTCAGTTGATACAGTTTGCTACTGGCCTGTGACACTAGAAAATAAGCATTACGTCACTAAGTTTTAACATTCATACCTGCATATAGCCTACACCTACTTATTTATGGAAGTGAAGTCGAGTGAATTCAGGTTTCGAACTGTCAGAATACAAATTAGGCGGGTCTGTGTGGTCCCATGGTGGTGAAGAGGTCAGCCCACGCTGTTTCCAAGCAATGACAGGGGTGAAGTCACGGTTGATACTTAGACTACATTCTGTCAATAGGTTTTATGTCAGGTCAGTGAGCATTCAGTCTGCTTTCTGTTGGTTCTCTTTAAATTTAGAAAGTAATCTCAATTAAATAAGAATCAAAAAAAGCCTCAGTTCTGTTTTGCATTCTCACGCTACCCACTCTCTTCCATTTGTGCGCTCTCTCTTGATCATGTGTCAGACAGGGAGGGATAAACAGAAATAGAGACCAAGTGTGTAAACATAAAAAAACAGAAGCTTGTAAAGTGCGACTCAGTGGCATTACCTCATGTTCCCGTGTGGCCATTGGTCTGACATCAAGTTTCTTTTAGCTCATGTTATATCACACAGTAGGTATCATACAGTCTTGTGTGATGGGGCATTTTGGGGTCAAGTAAGGAAATAGTAAATTATAACATATTTCTATTCATTCTAGTCCATTAGTGGTAACAGAATTTCAAACAAAATGTTGTTGTATCTCTTGTACAATGACAATAAAGCTTCTTCTTATAATAGGAAAATTATTTACCAAGCTGTGTAAAGTTTTCATACTTTTCAGTAATCATTAAAAAACTGACACTGTTTCTCCCTCCTCCCCCCTCCTGGGATCCTGTCACCCACTGGTTCCACATCTCACCTCAGCAGGCATATGCATGAGCAGCACTGCAGCCACCGGAGCCTGGGCCTGGCAGTAGCCCTCATCAGGTCGGTATATGGTGTAGGCCTTCAGAATTCGGTACAGATCCTGTTGCCTGCAGGGACAAGTGTGAAAATTATCCAGGAGAAAATTGGTTGTAAAAACCTCCTGTTCATGAACTAATCCAGACAAAAGCCTCCAATACATTTTTCATTCAGGCAATTACTTTACACGTTTTTCTCGTTTCCTCTTTTCAGCATGCTCTATTAGTATCAGTCAATGTTTGCTATTATTGGTTATAGGACTACAAATGGCTCTGCTTTTCTTTATGCATTTACTCATTTCTAACTGACACTGTTTCATGCTTATATCCTAAAATCGGTTACTCCAGCAGACCAATTTCCCTGCAGGAACCATGTTTACTGACAAATATATGCACATCAATGCAGTTGCCAGGCTATTACTAATTATATTTTGACCTGAGGAAGATGTGTCCTGGGTCTAAACATTGTGTAGTTGTGGTTACCTTCAGTGTACTGACAGGAACCAAACAGCGACTGTGACTTT